GAAAGAGATATAGTACTAAGTTAATAAGTAAATAATCTGCAAGAACTAAATAAGAGACTCTTGTTTTAGTTTTATTATTTAATAACTAATATATATATATATATATATATATATATATAAGTTTGGAGTTGTCCTGTTCAAAAATAAGTACCTTGTAACAGAGCTTGATGGGTTGAAAGTGTCAAATGGACATGAGTCATAAGGTAATAGAAACAATAGCAATGAGAACTGTATGTAATAAATACATCAAAATAGATATGTGTTTCCAAGTAAAATGATCAGGAGAATGAGAATAACCAATAAAAGTGGAGAAAAAGAATGTCTCAAAACAAGTCAAATCATAGCGTACAGGGCAGAAAACTATTGATGGATAAAGTAAAGAACCATGAGTAAGACCCCCTATGAAATAAAATTGAGAGTCAAAAACTTGAGAAAGAGGTGGGGAATATTAAGTGTGTGTGAATACAGAGTTAATTTTAAAAAATTAAAGATTCAAGTACGAAATTCATCTAAGAAGGCACAAACACCCTTAAGTATAAATCAAATATAGTCATTATTGAAAATATAGATCATACATAAAAGAAAAAGAAATGAGACCAGAAGAAGTGTTTTCAGAATATGAGCTAGCACTGTAGCAGACAAAACTTGCTCTGCAGACACTGAAGGCAAGAGGCATGAGCAAAAACTGACCTCATCACAAACAAAAGAAAATGATGAGTGTTACATAAAATTAACTGTCTACACAACTGTTACACACTAGGAGCATCTCTATACAAAGGCATCATTAAGTTGAATTATCAATGCTGAGAATGCACTAACAGTTTGAAACTAGGTGCTATAGGCAATTTGCATGAGTAAGTCCTCCAACGAAGATATAGTAATTATGATAATGACAGAAACAGTTTCATCAGAAAGGAAGCTGTAGCAAGGTTAATAAAACCACTAGTCACAAGGTAAGCTAAATTATGGTGGGAAAGAAAGATCCTATGTAAGATCTCCTGAAGCTTGCACAATAAGGCACATGGAAGGTGAAAGAGCGAAGAATTATAGATAAGTGAATGTAACAAATTTGTTAATATATATTTATTTTAATATCAACGTTTGTTTGGATTGGATTTATATTTAGAAACATACATGGCTTATACTGTTGGATATGTATTGCAAAACTACCACCTATTCTCTAAAGTTGTAGAAGATTCTTGAGAGTAAGAATCAACAATATATGTGTGTACATAAACCCTTGTGTTAGTGCCAGTATTGTTACGTAAAACTGAAATTTCTAGAAAACCTCCACACGTCTATAAATATAACCAATGCGACGCACTAAAGGAGAGTATCTATTATTAGTTGGCTATAATCAGTGTGCTACAAACTTTTGAAGCTACAACTGTGACTGTTATAATGCTTATCAATCAGAAAACTTCAGATATTTGACCAGGAGCATTTACAAAGTTTGAACATTACAACTCATTTAATTTCAGTGAATTCTCATCGGACATTAGAATTTTACGAAAACATTACATAACGTCATGATGGAAAACTCGTTGTGTGTGGCTGATAAATAATGAATGACAAAGCTAACTAGCTTCCCGTTAAGTGAATTATACCTACAACAACTCGTAATCAACTCGCTTATAGTGAACCCTTGATAAGATATCAAGGAAGTTCCAGACTAGAAAGAAAACTTTATATTTC